CTCTCCAGGACGGGAGGCACTGCTGCAGGAGCTGCTCCTGCCACGTCGTGACCCCAGCGAGGGGAAGGAGCTCTGCTACCGCTGGGGAACGTGCCGCCCAGGGCCGAGCCCGAAGCAGGGACCAGATGCCGCGTGCAGTCGATCAGCAGGTCTAAAGATCTGCCTCCAGCCGGCGCAGCGAGCCACGGGGCGGGAGAGAAACCGCTGCTGGGAGCTGGGTCCCACGGGTTTGAGAATCCCAGCTGACTCCTGAGAGCCCTGCGGAGGGGGAGGTAGGACGGCAGGCTCAGCCAGAGCTGCCTGAGCTCCCCCGTCTGCGTCTTCCAGCAATGCTTGCTGTTGGCTTTTCTCTAAATCTACTAAAGCCACTAGTGAAATCCCACTAGTTTCCCTAAGAAATTCTCACCTTGCGGGCTTCTATAGTAGAAGAACATATACCATCTGGGGTCTATCCCTTCTCAGTCCTTTTTTTTCTCCCCAAATTCTGCTGTTCCCTCTAATGTTCAGGCAGGAACAAGAAATATTTGCATCGTGTCTTTACTCAGAAGCCTCTTCTAAGAACCCCACACAACTACTGCACAGTGCAGCATCTGCTACTGATCTATTAATAATCCGAACAGTAGCATTAGCAAGTAACTATCAAGCACAACTACAGAATATGAACCCATGATCTTATCCCCAAGCTAAGAATGGTACAAATGACAGTAAGAATAATATCTAATAATCATCTAGCTACTAAAATTATATCCCTACAGAACTGGACAGACTTGTTTCTTTTATTTTAAAGACTAAGTCTAACTAAAAGCACTCCTGATACATCTAGGAGGTTGGAAGAGCTTAGGTGACTGCTGTCGTATATTCAAAGTAAATCAGCCTGTTGGGCTCTAATATTTATGTTTCCCAATTTCTGGCTTACAAAATTATACTCCCAAAGTAAATATCATTGCAGTATAGGAAATTATTTACGAAAGAAGAGCTAAGGAAAGCTATTCCATCATTTCTATTTTCATCAAGGTGAAAAACACGCTCTTGCAATCATATTACTGGGCTCAATTCTATGCTACATTAGCACGAAAATTTTCCATTGAAGTCAGCACGGATCTTGCTTTCATAAGGGAATTTTACATTCTGTAGCAACACCTCATCTTGCTATCAGTAAAGTCAGTGGGAGACATGCTTCTGGAGGTAATGGTAGTAAAATGAGGTCTTCAGTGGTGTTTCATAACGTGCTACACTGGTAGGAAAAGAACCATCGATTTTGGGAGTCACGGAGGTTCGCATCAAAGAACAGATTTGCTTCTGGTAAAGAAGTATGTGGAAGTGGGCCTGAAATTTAAGAAACTTCAAAGTAACCTGCACTGCAGCATAGGAAGAATGTTAGACCTTATGCATTTTAATAATCCCCGTGAGGACAAATCACCTGATTCATTCAATGATTTCAGTGTTCCAGATAATGTCGATATGCATGCAATATAGCGCCTTAAATTGCCGATTTAGAATTTTACTTATATTTTTAATAAAACTCCCTTTGTCTTCCCCAGAAATGTCCCAGAAACTAATAAAACCTTTTGTTCCGAATGAAAGATGTTTTGTTTGACCAGGCAGCAATATTCTTTCCAACTTTTAATTTGTCAGGAAGCAGGAGAATGCTCAGTTTTATCCAAAATTACTTCATTTTGACTGTGATTTGTTTGCATGTTCCTAATTTGAACTCTTTCGTACATGCTAAGCAAAGCTCACGGGCGACCTTCTGAAATATATTATAAGTTTGATTTGGCAGTTAGAGACAGCATATAGCTCCAAAAAAAAACTCTTCAGTCCTCATGGGATAGTATGTAAAACAATCTCCCCCCTGCTATCACGTACAAAAGCCTTTGGAGCTCTCCTTAGAGATGTTCACAGTGTGCAGTTAAAGAGGGGTGGTGCATAGATCTAATCAACTCTTCTCCATATTTCAAATTTACAGTATTTTCTCTGGACTCAAGCCAGGGAAATAATTTAACTTCTCACAGCAGACAATTTTTGTCTTCAGCCTAGGTGGTACTCCCCAAATAATTAAGAAGATCTGCCTATAAAGCTATTGGTTTGAAAGAAATTAGAAAATAATTAACCAAAGTGTGCTGCAGTAATGTTACTTTTAATCAGTTTAATCACAAAATTCTTCCAATTATAAGTTTATGAAAAAAAAAGTTAGTAGTCATCTGAGCAGATACACAAATCCAAACATCCACCTTTTCCATAAATAAATGGCAGAACAATCTACCAGTTGTTCATAGTTTGTTGCAGACATTCCCAAATGCTTATAAATTTTATTATAAGATGGGTGATTTTATAAAATTTATCATTACAAAAGAGACGTTCAGAATTTATGCCTCAGTTTAAAGTGTCGCTTGTTTATAAAGGTTCAACCTTCATAAATGTTGAATTCATGATGATTCACGAGCTGAATACCCAGATTAAGAACATGACTATAACAACTACTTTCAGGATTCAGCATAGTTTCTACGCAGTTTTCTTCTCCCCGTGATTTCTTACTGCCACAGACCCCTTTACTGCCCGACCCTGCAGCCGGGCACTCTGGTGACAGTCACACTGGGCTGGACATCGAGGCCACATCTGGGCTGTTCACACTAAACACGCCTCGGGAACGTTTCAAGGCATCGCTTAGGTCGTTAAATATTTAAAATGTTCCAGGGCCCAGTTTTAGCCTGACCAGGTGTCCAAAGAATTTGCAGGTGTGGTTCAGGGGTCAGCACTGGCCACGGTGTGGTCCAAATACGCCGGGTGCATGTCAGTGTCTGCCAGCTCCGTGGGCACAGCATTCAGTGCCAGGTGGCCCCTGCCACGGAATAATCCTCTGCATATTTAATTTACTAGCACAGACAAAGCTTGAGGAGCAGCAGCACAGATAAACTAACTTTCGTGTCAGCCAACAGTGGATGAACAATTTATGCGAACGTGAAAGAACACGTCGAATCTTTATAACTCAGTTGACTTCACACTTCTATTAATTTCTTCTTTCCTAAGTAAAAATTACAGTATTTACTGATTTTAGATCCTTGGTAGACCAAAAGCAGGTAAAAGGATCAGTGCACCTTAAACCATCTTTTCCCGGAGGTCCATGAAAAACCGTACCTTTGAATTACGGCTGGTTCCCATTTTTCAGTTGCTGGTTCCGTCTTGCAGCACAACCCCAAAGGACTCTGCTACCATGTAAATGATGCACAGACAAGGCAGCAATGCAGTACAGTGGAGAAAAACAAACACGGAGCGAAGAAGGAGTTGGGGCAGGGCAGAGGAGGGAATGCATAAAAAGCAAGGTGTGCAACACAGCACAAATCAGCCACGTGGAAGTATGAGGAATCACATGAAACGAGTTCTGCATCATCTGTCACTTGGAACGTGTGCCCAACGGGACTCCAGCTGGAGCACTGAATCCGGACCTTTCCGCAGCCAACCGCGCCATCTCACCCACAAAAACTCCTCTCTACCTTCCAAGGCAAAGGGATCAGCCCAACCATGGTCCCTCCTGGTCTGGGTGCTACTGACAGTAGGATTCACCAGGTCGGGAGGTGGAACAACTGAGAAGTGAATCTCAGCAAATTATACTCACCATCCCTTCTCTCCAGACTTCTCGTGGATTTTTCCCTCCCAAGCAGAGACTGCTTTATCCCTTGGCTTCTCGGTTATACCCAACTGGAAGTCAGCCACCTGACATGGTTGTGCTGTTCTTCCAAGTGTACACGACAGTCTAGTGTAGGCATCAGGAATGTGATTCATCAGACCAAGAGTGGACATACACATCTGAACTAGCTGTCTGAAACAGATACTTCTACCAAGTGACTCGATCTCATGCTAAAGCTGCCCTCTGAAATGAATGGTAGACCAGAAAATGCCTATTTACCTCCATTAATTGCAAAGGGGGTTCAGATGTGCTTCAGACATGGTCACAATTACTGCAGACACCTGAAGTTAATGAGGTGAAGCCCAGTCATCATTGCTCTACGTAAGGAATGAAGTAATCCAGAAATGAGACTACCACAGCCCAAGATGCGTTGTTGCTGAATTAATACAGTCAAAGTTTTATTTAAAAAATAATTGTGTTTCCTATAGCATATTTCAGTTTTAGTTTAAATCTAGTAAATACTGTTGAATTAAATACTAACATTTGTAGTATCTTGAGTGTTCACTTGATAAATCAGGATGTACCATGAGATGTTACATAGACCCTATGTAATTACTTCACTATTTAACCACCGATTTCCTCAGGTGATTATCAATCTGTTTAGGCCGATGACCATCCCCTTCAGATGCAGTGTGCTATATTTAAGTTACAAGACTGAAGATTTATCTTTATTCAAAAGTGCTAACTTGTTTAAACTTTTTAAATACAGATCTCATTTAAGTGCTAACATCTATAATCAGCTTTATATTTATATTTGTGATATGTATCATGCAGGGCACTTAGTACTCAGTAACGCTTATTGACTGAATACTAAGATACCTGGGTGACGGGGGTTACAAACCTGAAACAAGAGCAGTATTTGTGGGATGAGAGTTACCAGGACTCCTACCAGATAAACCGAAGGCAAATCCCCATCTAGCTTCTTTGGTTCTGCTGCACAGGAGGTGCAAGATTGTTCAAAATTTGCGTATTGCTAGAAGTAGGTGCCAGCTTACTCATTTGTAGGGATCAGCTACGCCTCCCTGCCAAGCAGAAAGCTCCTAGTCCTTGCAGCCTTTTGCTTCCTCACCACTTTTCAGTCCGGGAAGGCTGAGCCAGGCAGCCACTCCCAGCCCCAGGGGAGAAGCAGTCAGTGAGCAGCGGTGTGCTGGGAGACTCCCACCCTTGGGTTTTTTCTTCATCACATTCACAGTGCAAGCATGGCCCTATGTGTCATTTCTCAGTTTCCCGGAACAGCACAAATTTACAGAGACGCATCAGGAACACCTTCAGATCAAGGTCTTCTTTCTCCATTTATCCGTGGTACGAACCACAAGATTTAACAGGGATGTAAGAAACACCTTACTGGATCACCCAGATGGTCCCTCCAATCAGTATTCTGACTCCAGCAGTGGCAGCAGGATTCCGGGCAAATATGTGAGCCTACCATTTTCCACAGCCCATTCCCACTCATACATCCCCAGAATCGAGTCACCTCATTCGGAAGTTGGAATTTTCCCCATTGTGGTCTCCTTAACTTTTCTACTGAGCCATGCAGAGATTTTATTGAAGTGCTTGTTTTCTTGTTGAAACAAGGCAGTTTACCAGGGCTTCTAATACAATATTTGTAACAATATCAATACAATAATACTACTGCTGCATGAGTCCTGAAATACCTATATGGTATTTAAAACAAAAGAAGTGTCTAGATATATTTCCCTTTACCTGACCTCCAGCCATTCATTATAACCTTGAATGCAGAGCATCTGACTCAGCTGCTCTCTTTCTACACTGGGAGAAACTGCCTGCCTGCTGATAGCATTTTTTCTCTATGTCCTCAGATACCTGCCAGCGCCCACAGCCCTCTTTCTAGCCTAGCATCTTCCTTTAGCTTATATTTAGACTTTGAGGAGTAAATTGTTTTTAGCCTGCCAGGTATCAGAAAGGGTAAATTCCCCAACAAACAGCACCCTCACTGCGTTTTCAAGGATTAATGCTGCTTTGCTTTTCTTGCTGGCCCTGTTACATCTTCTATTTGATTTAACTCTCTGCGCTGAGGCAAAATAAGACCTCATCAGTAATGTGAGTATGGTATTAAAAATATTACACATAATTGCCTTGTTTGTTATAGGTCGCAAGTCCAATGGTGTTCTACATCACATTCCTCAGGACGCTAAAGGATCTTGGTTACTGTGAGGATCTCAGCTTTCACTGCAAAAAGGGGGGTAATTTCTACCCCTCCTTGTTGCAAAGAAAAGGTTGAAAACATTATTTTGGCAAAAATAAAAAACTGAAAAATTGAAAATTGAATATAAAAGGCAAGCTCATGACTTTTATGATTATACATTACTTTGGCGGGGGTGGGGGGAGAAGTGACTCTAATCATTATTTCTGAATGTTTGCAGGTGGCAACGCTGACTGTGGAAATTTCATCCTTGGGAATGCTTTGTCACTGATGTCCTCAGAGCAGTAATAATACCATTCGCCCAGTAGTTTGTGTGAATAAGAGTAGTCCTATGGTCTAATTTATTCTCTCTGCAGATTTGGACCCTGATCTTGCAAGCTGTATTTTGTACCCATGAAAAGTGCTGCAGTGATATGCAGTAGTGGTATGCACAAGTAAGAAGCTCTGTCTGTGCAAGATCATAGATCTTGCAGCTAAGCAAACTGAGTGCAAAAATTGGGAGACAGTTTATCTCTGTTAAATTTGCCTTTATAGAAATTGCAGTGTGTAGAAACTCTGCATTATTAGAACAGAAGACAACATAATACAGAATTCCTGTTCAGTAATTATCCTTTACTCCAAAAAGCAAACGATGCACCTCTTCCCTCACCCTTCTTCCTGAAGGCACACAAACACCAGCACAGAAATAAAAAGAGGGATTTTGATGGAAAATCTGAAACCTTCCTTTTGGTTCCATTAGGTGGAGCTCTCAGACAAGAAGAAATTAATAAAAAACAACCCAGCAGGCACCCTTAGGGATATTAGTACTGTGCTGTGCAGGTATCTTTCCCTGCCGAGAGCTCTCTCCTCTTGTTAGAATTCACTTGTACCCAACTAGGAAGCTCATTACATGATTTCAGAACTACTATTACTCAGAAACCTGCCTGTACAACTAGGTTTTCATTAGCCTGACGCACTACCAAGGTCAAGCTGCAAACTTTGGAGGCAGCTGAATGCTGTATCACTGGGGTCATCATAAATAACCAGACCAACGGAGAAAAAGTTATGGAAATAGAGAAGCAGAGCGGATAAAGAATTTAGAAGTTATACATAAAAAACGGAAAATTCCAGCAAGCGCTTGACCTTGCTTCCATTAACGATAAAAGTCCACTGGCGTTAATGGCGCGGGATTCAGCTGAAAAATTGGCCATGCAGACACAAAGGCGTAACACAAACGGAAATGGCAAAATGTGTGTAACCCGATTTTCTGCCGCTTTCTGGTTCTAGTTTCTACTCTTGGTTTGATGTCATACTTCACGTCCACATTCTTACAAAGTTTTGGGGTAGCTCTCCGAGTTCGTACACAGGGGCTGGGATGAAGACAGCCCTGTGTAAGGTACGGTGCAAGCAAAGGACAGAATGATGGGTACATATTTTCAAGGCTATTGGCTCTTACACCGATTGTTCATTATGTACAGTAACTCAGCAGCGTCAATATTTTTGCCAAATAAATGGATGTGGTTGGCAAAATGGGAAAGAGGGAAGCAATGTTATATAGACAATTATCAGAATTAACAGAAATTAGCAGAGATTGTCCAGTATATATGGAAGGAAAGAGTCTGAATTGGTTCCTGCTAGACTCTACACCTTATTTAAGAGAAATGATTGACTTAATTTAATTAATTCAACTGTGATTAAATCCTGCTAGTTTTATCTTTTATGAAGGCAAACCTGACACTCCTGTAATTGACCATTTCAGTAAAGCTTAGCCTATCTCCTAGATTTACCCTTGATACAAAAATACGATAATTTCAAGACTACTGAGGTACGATTCTGGAAGGTGGTTTTTATTTTGTGTTTGAATATCATCTGTCTAGTTCCACGTTTTGCAACAAAACCTTCCGCAGACACTTGAACAGTCTGGAAGTCTGTCCCATTTTCAGATGTTCAGACTGTTTAAAACCTGTACTCTTTTGCGCCCAAAGTAAAGACCATTAGCACCTTGTGCTAAAAGAAATAACATGCAGTGGCTGTGAGGCATGAGAACTAGCAACTTTGTTTCTGTGTTGAAATGTTGGCCTCATTATTTGATGGGTTTTAATTTTATACATTACTCTAGATTTGCTTCACCGACACAAAAAGAAAACTTCTACTAGTACAGACTGCTGCAGTGTAAGAAGAGCGTCTCTCCCCAACACTGAAGCTCTCCCTCTCACTTCCATATTCTTCTGCTCTGCACATTTTTCCAGGGAAATGTACTGTGATCAGGATGAGCTTGTATTTTTTTTTTTTTTTTCCCCAGGGGAACTGTCCCAAACCTGCAGCTGACATAAGAAAGGAGTCGCAGGTCAGAAGCTGACCTTTCCTTCTTGACACTGACACCATGGACCAGGATTGTTCTGGCCATACTGGGCCATATGCACTGGTTCCAGTGACTGCAAGCTGCAGCTTCCACCGCCTGTTTCAGATGCAGAGGGCATAAAAAGCCAGAGCTTCAGGAGCACATCTGTTTTTTAACTTGCTCTCACCTGCCTTCAGGGTGGCCTTAATGACTGCAGCATGCACGTGCAGTTTTCAAGTTATGCTCTGTGAGTCTCTTCCTCTTTCAGAGGGTTCTATGGATCTATGGGATGGATACGCTTCACTCTGACATATATGGCTACTCACAGCCTCTACTGTACTCATCCTGAGACCCCTAACTCTAATGGAGGGAGTTATTATTATCCCTATTTTATGCCTTCAGGCCAAGTGACTTCTTCAGCGCCATCCAGGGACCCTGTGACAGAGGAGGAAACTGAACCTGATTCTAGTGCATCCTAGCTCTGCCCAGTGAACCATACTTCAGGGTGACTTTACACCAACAGATGAGCGTAGGTCTGATTTAAGCTTCAAGAGAGGGAGAATAAATGTTACGGCCCGTTTGTCTAGATACCTGAGAGAGAAGGAAGCAGGAGAAGGATCAAGATGGTGGAGAGCGGCAGCACTTGGTGCCACACGGTGAGAAAGTCCTGTAGGCAGAGAACATAGATGGTAAGCTTCATCTAGCTAGGCGTCCCTGAAGCATCCTGCCAATTTTCCCAGTATAAGACAAAAATCTCTCTCCAAATCTGGAACTTCTCCATCAAGAACCTGCTTTCAGGAGATGAGTGGTTTTCATTGGAAATCTGTCCAGCAGAAAATTCTCTACTGTCCACTACGTGCCCCTCTAGATCCCCTCCAGCTTCACAGTTCCCACGACCCTGAATGAGCGAGAATGTTCTCCCGTGGAATAATCACGGAAGTATCCATGGTTCAGTATTTCGCTGAAGCACAGCGTGGTTAAAAGCCTGAAAATCAATCTTAACTACTGAGATTTCCGTAAAGTTCAATTAAAAGTGTCAAGCTATTGTGACTAGCTTTGTCGAAATGTGGGTGACAAGCTCTGCTGTGCAGCAAAACGTGCTCGTTTCACAACGCGCTGGTGGGGAGCGGCTGGATGCTGCTTCTCAGGAGGCTGTAGGCACACAAACCTTCTGGCTGTGCCGCCTCAGCTTGCATCTGACCCACGCACCCTCTTTTCCAAGCTGCCTCGTGGAAAGGGAGAGCCCGAGAAGACAGGCAGTGCAGGAGCTCAGGGCTCAGAAGGAAGACAGTGTGGTCTTGATAAGAAAAACACCAGCATTCACACAGCCCAAATCCCGATCTGTTACTGATCCTGCTGCACCACTCGCTTTCTTTCATTCACCTGATTTGGACATGGTGCTTTGAAGAGAACATAAATACACTTCTCTCGACTTCTTTGTCTACCCTTTTGGGAAAGTGCTCAGTGCTTGTACCGTGTATCCCAATATGGTTTCTTTTTGAATATCTATTTCAGAAAACACACCCCTACTGCAGCACAGTGCAGCCTATAGCAATGAAGAGGAATAATAACAAAATCCTTAAAGACAGATCAGGCATTCTAAGTGCTATACTTGGGTCAAACTTGAATCTGAAGGGCTTCTATATATGATCAAAAAAATATTTTCTCCCAGTTTCACAATAGGTTATAGGATACTAGAAATTTCTGCTAGTAATTATGTGGGAATAAATTCAATTAGCTGAATTCATTATACTTCTTAAAACCAAACTTTTATTTCCTCTGAATAAATTCAGTCTCCTGTTTAGTAACAGTCTCCTACTATTAAGTTTCATTAAGACCTCATCCTGACAAGGGCTGCGCATCCACTATTAAACCTAGGTGCTTTGCGAGGACCCTAGGATGTCGTGCTACACAAAGCTTCCCAGCTGAGTTACATGTTTCACTCAGGACTGATCTGTTCAAAACCTGGTAATCCTGCACATTTGTTTAAACAAGTGGTTCTGTTGTGGCCAGCCCTGACCTACTTTCCCCAATGCCTTATTTGTTGCATACGTGTTTCAGCTTTCCTCCGACTACCCTTAGAACACAGACTGCCTTTTGCTATCTGTTAGCAAAATGCTCAGAACAATGGGGGCCCTGATAAGGGAACACCAACACCAATCTGCTGCACAGAGCAGAAATAATGAGGTACCGCCGGCACCCAGCAAAACCAGAGGTACTTATCTGCTCCTTGAGCGAGCTTGGGATTCATTTCCCTTAGCTGGCCAGTTTGACTTTTTATTGCACAGAAACAGAGGAGCAAGTCAAACATAAACACGCCACTCTTGCAAAATGAAGAATTCCGCAGCAGAAACTATGAGTGCAATTAAAGGGTAACAGCATTTAACAGTCTAACATTTAACGTCTCACCTCTCTTCACCATCAGCAGGAGATAGATGAAAGACAAAACTAGTTCACTCCCCGCAGAATACCTCTCTCTTCATCTTTTAAATAGACCCACAATGGAGCCTTCTGTTGGTCATATCGATCTCTTTCGCACTGCACATGAGCTATCATTTTTTTTCAGGATATCTTTCT